GGCTCATAAACAGAGCCGACTGGGAACAGTTTTATACTATTGCTAGTCTAGGTTGGAATGACATCCGTACTTTGAACATTGATGTTGCGGTGAACTACTTCACAGCGTTTTTGATCGATGCTGCAACAAAATGCATCCCACAAACAAATGGACACCCTGGAAAACGACGTGTGCCATGGTGGAACTCTGAATGCCGAAACGCGCGCAAACAGCAAAACAGAGCTTGGAGGCTGCTTCGGAACTCGCCGACAGCTGAAAATCTTGAAACCTTCAAGAAAATAAAGTCTCAAGGCAGGAGAACGCGTCGGCAGGCCAGAAGAGAAAGCTGGCAGAAGTTTTTATCAGGGGTTAATTCATACACACAGGAGGCTAAAGTCTGGGACATGGTCCATAGGATAGCAGGAAAACAAGCACACACACTTCCACTCGTAAACACTCAGGGTGATACCTTGGAAGATCAGGCAAACTTCCTCGGTGCACACTTCGAACAGGTATCCAGCTCGTCCCACTATACTGACACTTTCCAAAATACAGAACAAGAATAGAAAAGCAGAAACTTGAACACAAATCCACTAGATACGAGGGATATAACCAAGCTTTCAGTCTTGCTGAGCTCCGAACATCTCTGAACTCCTGCAGTACTTCTGCCCCAGGTTCTGACCGTTTGATGTATGAAATGTTAAAGAACCTACCAAACGAAACCCGAAAAACCTTACTTTGTTTGTACAATGCTATTTGGTCTTCTGGCACTATTCCTACCTCCTGGAAAGAGGCTATTGTTATTCCCATTTTGAAAGAGGGCAGGGACCCTTCTTTAGCTTCGAGTTATAGGCCTATTGCACTTACAAGCTGCTTGTGCAAAGTCTTTGAAAAAATGATAAACTGCCGACTTGTACACTTTCTTGAAACAAACAATTTGCTCGACCCATTTCAGTGCGGGTTTCGAGAGAGTAGATCCACGACAGACCACCTTGTTCGTATCGAGGCACAGATCAGAGACGCCTTCGTCCATAAACAATATTTTCTCTCCGTGTTCCTCGATATCGAAAAGGCTTATGATACAACATGGCGTTTTGGAATTCTAAGAGACCTATCCAACCTTGGCGTGCGCGGAAGAATGTTTCACATAATCAAAAGTTACCTGTCAAACCGGACATTCCGTGTCCGAGTGGGCACGGTTCATTCTCAAACATTTGTCCAGGAAACAGGCGTTCCACAAGGTGGTGTACTTAGCTGCACACTTTTTCTCATAAAAATGAATTCCTTGCGCTTGACCATCCCTCGCAATATGTTTTATTGTACATATGTGGATGACGTCCAGCTTGGCTTTAGGTCTTGCAATCTGGCAATGTGTGAGCGGCAGGTTCAGTTAGGTTTAAACAAGCTCTCAAAATGGGCAGAGGAAAACGGATTCCGACTGAACCCACAAAAAGCACGTGTGTCCTGTTCTCCAGAAAGAGAGGCATGCACTCAGAACCCGACATTGAACTGAACGGTCAGCGTCTGTCTGTTAATACGGAGCATAAATTCCTAGGATTAATCTTGGACAACAAGTTGACCTTCGTACCGCACATCAAGTATCTAAAAACAAAATGTTTAAAAGCCATGAATGTTTTAAAAGTGTTGTCACGTACTACTTGGGGTAGTGATAGGCAATGCCTCATGAACCTCTATAGAAGCCTCATTCGCACCCGCTTAGATTATGGGGCCGTTGTCTATCAGTCTGCTACTCAAAGTGCTTTGAAGATGCTGGACCCCGTGCACCATTTGGGCATCCGCCTTTCTACGGGTGCTTTTCGCACCAGCCCCGTAGAAAGCCTTTATGTTGAGTCAAATGAGTGGTCGCTTCATTTGCAGAGAACTTACATGTCCTTTGTTTATTACCTTAAGGTGAAAGCAGACAAGAAGCACCCCTCATACTCTACTATTAATGATTTGTCGAGCTCAATTTTGTTTCAAAACAGGCCTTCGATGAGGCAGCCCTTCTCTATTCGCCTGAAGAGTCTAGCTGAGGAAACTGGAATCTCACTAGAACACAGTTTAATGGCTCCTGTAGCATATCCGCCACCGTGGCAATGGCAGACTATAGACTGCGATGTGTCTTTCCTAGAAGTTACAAAACATGCACCTGTTGCCCATATCCGAACATACTTTTTGGAACTTCAACACAAATACACATGTCCTGAGTTCTTCACAGATGCCTCCAAGACTAACTCCTCTGTGTCCTACGCTGCTGTAGGCCCATCCTTTTCGGATGCTGGTCCACTACATCCACGCACAAGTATCTTCACAGCGGAAGCGTACGCGATACTTGTGGCAGCTAAACACATCAAACAATTACAAATACAAAGAGCAGTAATTTATACAGACTCTTTAAGTGTGGTAACGGCTCTGCACAGTCTTAAAAAACAAAAAAACCCAGTCCTTGTCTCACTTTACTCTATTTTATGCACACTTTACACACTCAAACAACATGTTGTAGTGTGCTGGGTGCCAGGGCACCGTGAGATTCAAGGCAACGTGAGGGCGGATCAGCTCGCTGCATCCGTGCACAAAAGCACTGCCCCTACACCCATATCAATCCCGGCCCTCGATCTTAAACCATCCCTCAAACGAAACCTCAGAGTATACTGGCAGAGCAAGTGGGATACACACACACAAAACAAACTACACGTTATTAAGCCACACCTTGGTCATTGGCCGCCCGTATCAAAATCGCGTTATACAGAGGTGATACTAACGAGACTCAGGATAGGACACACATACACGACACACACACACCTTTTGTCCGGTGGCGATCCACCATTGTGTGACAGATGTGGTGAAGCATTGACAGTCCTTCACATTTTAATTGAGTGCAAACAATTAGACACTGTAAGAAAACAACACTTTCCATTACCCTACCGACAACATATACCTTTACACCCTGCAATGTTTGTCGGTAGGGAACCGCTTTTTAGTTATAAATCATTGTTAGCGTTTTTAAAAGAAATTCATAACTTTCATGTCATATACCCGGGCATACCGTAGCATGACCTCTCCAGAGAGGTTTTTGCTGCGGTGGCTACACAAGAAAGCACATGCCTCACGACCCTTGGACGCAAGGGTATGAACGAGTGAGGCACTTGTGCTAATGCCATACATATGCACCATCGTCTTTTATTATCACCAACTTTTGTCATCTATTCACATCACACACACCTTTCACCGCATGGTCATGATTTTATTATTTGTCTGTTTTTACTCGCCTTACTGCGAGGAATTTTATGGCCCTTATACAGCCGCTTATCACAATCATTGTCCATAATTTTAGTAAGATGAACTGGCGCTCTTTGGCCGTGAAATGGCCCTTGCGCCATAAAACATCAAACATCATCAGGAACGATGCTGCTATGTGTACTCACTACCGCACTCGCAGCGGAACTTCGTTATCATTCTTTGTTAACCAAAGTTTTACAAACGAGGGCATCTTTTTTTTTTTTCCTGAACGGAGCTTTTCCAGCCCTTGTGCAGAGCAAGAGACCGTTTTCAAATTTAGTGTGCATGAATTAAGAGCTTTCTTCACCAAAATGAATTCTTTGGACGTGTTTTTATATTTTTTAATGCTATACGTGTTCAAGCCCGAGAGAGCACAGCAAAATGAGTTAGGCTGCCCTTAGATGCAAGCCCAGCTCGTCTTTGGTATGAGCCATACAAACCGTGTCGGCGAGCTCAGCTGGTTTGTGGTAGGGAAAATGTTTAGAAACCCAAGGGGGTTGAAATTTCTGGAGCACTCCTCTGCAGTGTCTCGTAATCATATCGTAGTTTCAGTACGTAAAACCCCAACAATTTAATATTGAAGTGCAGAGCCATGAATTTTCCCAAATCTACATTGAAAAAAAGAAATATTAGGCCTGTGTGGTTATTACAGTATTTGAATTCACTTCGATTCGAATTTAAAATGAGGACAATGGCGAAATATTCTAAACGAAGGAATCAATGTATATTAATCTGTGTGTAGTCTACTGTAAAGGTGGTTTCACTGCAGCAATGGGTTGCTAAGCCACGAAGACGCCTTTCCAAGGGAATCCGCACTGTGGCGAAGCTTTTATTTCCAAGTAAAATGAAACACAATGCCCTGGCATTAATTGATGATTTCTTAAGTTCAAAAGCTTGTTATATAGTGGCCTATACACTCTTAGTACAGTAAATTATAAACTTGACATATTTTACTGGTTATCACTTGCATTCTACTGAAAGTAAAATCCTGCTACTATTCAATGTTGTTTCCGCTTCATTTCAACCAAAAATAATGGCGTTTGCAAAGGCCTTGTTTCAATTTTAGGGGCGAAGCTCCTCTTTGTCTAACCTTGTCATTCGTCATACGTAACCGAGAGAAAAAGAGACGAGAAAGAAAAGGCAGTATCTCCCCAACAGAATAATAGACGGCACTGTCTCATAGAAGTACATACAAACAGCAGTTGAGTGAGGATGTTCTAGATGGTGCTTTACCGCTACTCTCCGATTGGCTGCTGCATGGGCTGTGCCTCGTTATGCGGAAAACGAGTGCCTCTCTGTCTCCTGTATAGTCTCCGTACGTGGCGGATCGTTGATGAGGCATGTACGAAGCAGGGCGGCGGGCGCGTTGACACTTGCGCTCGGCTTCTTTGGCTCGTGTCTCCTCTGTGTTACCCGCGTGCCGTCTTCATTCTCAAACGCGATTGGACACACGAACAAATGGACTCACGGAAGCTTCGCCCCACTCACCATCATTCACCCCGTGGATATGCTGTGATTTTTTTTAAAGAAAATATTATGTAGGTTAGTAAGGTAGTCACAAATATGCCCATTTCTTTTTATATGTGATGTATATACTGCTCAAATTCGATTCGAATTTATTCGACCAAAGTCTCTTTTCACTCCAAACGTAATATCCACTATTCGCTCAAGCCTACAAACTCTGTGTGGCTGCAGTTGAGACACTTGTCTTTCCAATCCCTTGACTGCTTTTTATTTTGCAGGGTTGTGACTAATCGGAAACATCGAGCCGGGATCCGAGCGAAGGCGCAAGCTCCACAGCCGCCCGGAATACCGTTCCGACAGCTGACGTCCTGCTACACGTGGTGTGCGGGCCTGGTCCTATCAAAGGGGGCGACTGCCAGGAGTGCATGAAACTATACATACTCTTGCCCCGAGCTGTGTAGCTCGAGCACTATTGCATTTGTAGGCTGCGCGCTTCGCTGCCGGATTGCGGGAAGATTGCTAGAGATCGCGTAGGCAAGCTCACAGTAGGGAGGGCCTGTGTTGTTTCGAATGCTTTTGTGTTCTGTTGACGATGTAGCCATGCTCCATGAAACAAAAGGTTTTCCTCACGTCGACCAATCAGATTCGTAAGACTAAAGAGTTTGCGTTTTTCGAGTTCAGCTGGACATAAACACGGCGCGCTGTCTTGTTTACCAACCATGCACAGGCTCCAAAATGGACGCACAATTTTCGACTCGCCGTTTGACCCGGCGTTTGAAGGACAACGTGATGTTAAAATGAAAAAACAAAACAAAAACGCGGTGCATGTCCTGGAGAGCACGGAGAACTAGTCAACATGCCTGTGGCTCTCTGGAAGGCGTGGCATTGTGTAGTGGTGTCATACACAACACAAGGCTTAGTGTGTGCTTGTATGTTGCCAGCGAAAAAAGAACAGATGCAGAAAAATGCACCATGCTGATATTTTTTTATAGTTTACACAATTGCGACTTAATTGAAAGACCTGCAATGGCACTTGAGAGTGCGGTACTCCCTTTGTACACCCTGCCTGCCATGTTCTATACTGGTGTCTGTCGGGCACTTTTGATATCTATCGAAGCTGATCCAAATTAGGCTCGATTCAGGTCACTGTACCACTACACGGTCACTCTTACTCGCTTTGAGGTCTGATCACAATCTGTGCACGGCTTCCAGATCGCATTGTGGCTGGCGTCTCCACCAAACTTGTTCTATGTAAGTTTGGACCATGTTTCAGCGACTGTTGTTGCTCATTGTCAAGAAATCTAATTCGGACCGGCCCTGGTTGCAATAGAAAGGGCTCGTGTGATATCAGTATTAAGCTGCATTCTCACTACAGTAGTGATTGCAGACAAATCAGCCGCACAATGTACGCCACTGATTGAAACGCTTCGTAACTTGCGTTCGACCAACGAGCTAACTCTGCTGTCGTTTTCCTGTAGTATGAAAAATGGCATAAACTATGTCAGGACTTCCATGAGTAGCTGTCCACTCGGAATCATGTGCAGCCAACGTCTTCTTGTCGGTAAGTGACCTAAAGACGGTCATCAGATTGAAGTATTTCCTGCAGCATGTCTAGCCTAAAGTGGTGATTTGGTTTATTTAGCTGTGAGGATGAATCACTTCTTTGAAACCAGGGGAGTGACCGCTGCAACGATAGTGACAAGTACGTTCTCGTAATGTGTACAGTCAGCGTGCCTGAGGTCGTGATTTCACCTGGTGTTTTGAGTTAAAATTCACTTACATTTTTATTGTTTTTTTTTTCCCTTGCAATGCCCCCTGGGCATGTTGTCCATGAACTGTACCTTTGTTTATTTGACGGTGCATTGTGTTCCCTAATGCTGGGTTTCATAGATAGTCATTGCAATATTTGCAAGTCAACACGAGTTGTTTTTCAGGGCTTCAAAGCCATTTAGTTTGAAGAGTGTTAAGATTTCAGACTTCATTTTCTGGCGTGGCACGACAGAATTTGTTTTTGCGTCTGCCCACAAGTTTGCCACAGCCTTCAAGCCTATTAAGACTGCTCAAATTCACTGATCTTTTTTTATTAAATTGATAATGCCATTTTTCCTATAATTTTCTCTTTCTGTTTAGCGAGGAACGTTTGCTTGCAGAAGGCTATACCTTTTTGTCTTGCTCAGCATTAATTTTGTTTTTCTTTTTTCTTCCTTTGTTTTGGAATAAGGTGTGTGAAGGCTTTGTCAGTGCATAGAAACCTAGAATTTGTGCCGCAGGAACTTGCCGTACAACCTGCTCGTGGGAAGCTGCTTTTGTTTTCTTTTTTTTCCTGCTGAGATACTTGCTCCAGGTTAATGATAGACATGCTAGCACTGTCGACAGGTAAATCCTGAAGGGACCCTAAAATGGAACAAGGAATCACTCTTTTGTGTCTCTGAAGAAGGTACAGCCCTCCCCTGACTGAAGTGCAGCTGCTGATCGCCTCCGCATCTAACAAAACGGTCTCACTATTGTTCCTGGACACGACGTCTGTTCGCAGGATCACTGGGCGTTGAACTCGTGGCATCGGTGTGGAGTGCACACTCATTAGTGCTGGCTTGTGCATGTCTAATTTTCAAGGTGGAAACACTGCTGCTCTCCAAGGTTGTACCGCACTCTAGAGCTGTCTGCAATGTCTTGTGATTAGGTGGTGCAGTGTCACAAACTAGTATACCGTGGCACCTCTGCTTCGCATTTTCTTTTTATTTTCTCTATACAACGTATGAAGAAAATCTGCATTTGAGTGTACGCACACGTCTTCCTCACAAAAGTTCATGAGTCCGCTTGATGTTAGCCTATATGCCACTTTCGAAGAGCACTAGGTGGCGTTCTTCAGTAGGCGTTTGTCCTATCGCACACGAGAATGTACAATCCAAGAATCTTTGCAGTTGACAAAACACTTGTGATGCACTTCAAACCACTAGGATTTTTTCAAGTTCTTGCAATTCACTTGAATTATACAACATTGCAACTGTCGAAGTAGAAAGTACCAAAAGACTGCCTTGTCTTGGTGTGGGAACTTCAAAGGGGGATCATAACTCACGTGCTTTTTGTTCATTTTTTTGTTGCATGCTTTCTCGCTTACCAGGTGCCGTCTTGCAGCAATCTTGGGGATTTTGATACTGAGAAGGAATAGCCTACTAATACAATAAAGATCGTTTTTCGCTTTGCAGTCTCTGAAGAAGGCACACCCCTCCCGCAACATAAGTGCAGTGGGTGATCGCTCCTGCATCTCACAAAATGAACCATGGCATGGCCGCTCAAAAATACGTGCTATTTAGTTAAAACTAGAGGTAGAGGGTCTATTATGTCTTTGCAGATCTGAAAAGTGGACCGTAGAGGAATATTTTGGGGCAGAAAAAAGCCCAAGAAGTGGCCGGCTGTGAACCCCACAATGCCGGCGACCGCCACTTCGCAATGGCTTGTGTGACATCATGGGCTGGAAGGAGCAGAGCCGGCGCCTTCTAATGACGTTTCAGTCATTGCAAATCATTCAGTTTCAGTGCCAAGGTGAAGGAAGCTTAAATATCTCGACTTGACGAGCAGCTTACCGTGAAACAGCATTATTTGCCGGAATGCAGGTGCTCACTTAACCAACTACTCGTTAACGTCGCGGCTTGCGAGTGCGCCAGTGTAGCCCGGCTCTCGGGTGGCTAGTGTCCTTATGATATTGAATTCTAAATCGAGCGCTCAACCAAGTGCGGTAAAGTTTTGCCGGGTTATTTGAGAATGCAAAAGGATTAACCCACATAGTGGAGATTATGATCGACAGTTGGTTGTCGTGGCCCCTTTAAGTTCCCACCCCTTAAAGCTCGGTGCTTTTATTTTTCTGTTAGGCGGCACTCTTTAGTTCATTAGCTCTGTCCTTTGTGTTTCCTTTATATATCTTGCCGTTTTCTACTTTTCACTGCTGACGTCTCTATATTTTTTTCTTTTTTCACTAGCTTACCTTTTTTTTTCCACCACTGGTTACACAGGTGCCTTTAGCGTCGATGTTCAGCTTCAACTACCAGGCCAGTTTTAAAATGATTCTCATGGAGCTGTAGTCTTTATGAAGGAAACCTTTGCATCGAGACAAAGCAGTTTTTGGTGCCATTTAAATTTTCCTGAAGCCTTTACTTTTGATATATTCTGTGAAATAAACCGATTCTTTTATTACCTTTGCAGTCAAATCCAGTTATATCAAATTTGACGAAGATCACAAGAAAGTTCTACATATAAGCTATTCAATACTTCAAATCTTTCAAAGAGGATTTTACTACTGTCTATATGCACAATATTTCAATATATGCAGGTTCAACTGTATTTTTCAGTTCTCTTTGTAGTTGACAAAATAAGCACAATATGTTTGTCCAAACAGTGCAACTTTTTAGCGGGTACATGGGCAAAAAAAAAATGTTGGCTTCTGTGCGCTGATTGAAATTCATTTGTTTTTGCAGTATTCTATCGGCAAATCGTATTAAGTCGCTGTAGAACAAAGAGCACGTAAAGTGACATCCTCGACAGAGTGCACACTGGGTACACCGTTACTGTTGGACAAATCCTATTCTGGCGCACCTTTTTGTATAATTATCGTTGTAGCTGTGTACACTGGTGTGGTTTGTTGAAAATGCCAGAAGAGCTAGGCTTTTGTACTTGACCGCATGGTGTATAGTGAGATAAATCCGGACAGTTTGCGGTGGATTAACTAAACCAGTGCACCATAGTGTATGCACCGAGCTTGTCCTAACGAGGCTTACGTGTTGAGGATATAATGGTATAAGTGCTGTCGTTACCAGTATGAATCGGTAGCCTTTCAGGATTGCTTAGGTCAGTGGCACGCTTTTATTCAAATGCAGGTAAACACAGCTCACTGAAGGAACATTGTTCTCGCTAAGTAAAGGTGTTGGAGGAACTTGCCGACCTGTGTTCAAGACCTATGACTAGAGAGCATTAAATGTGATGTATATTAATTGAATTGAATGCACAACCAGTTTAGAACTTTGCATTGTGACAGAACTATCAAAGAAGACAGCCCTTTATTTTGGTTTATCATAAACATTATTATGCTGTAGTCGCAGCTTTGTGTAGAAGTTAGTAGCACTTGTATTGCATTCGCTTATTTTGATGGGTTACACTTTTGTAGCAGCTGGATTTCAACATGATTGTGTCACACATCTTTGGAATTCTGCTCAGGCAATCTGCTCACCTAATGATTTGTAGAGTCTGCCAGCGCAGTGTTTCTAAACTCTTCAGTGTAGTCGCGACATGACAGACAGTGTCGTGGTTGTAGACTTTGACTTGCGGTGTTCACATGCTGCTGGTGATTGTGTTTTTACTTGCAACTTTGCTCGCCACCCTTAAATAAGACATCGTGCCTGTAAATTAGAGAAAAAAGAAGTTCAGCCTTCGTGTTAAACTGCAGAGCGTTTGGTACTTGCACAGCTTCTGTTTAAAAACTGTGAAAACATAGGTAAGTGATCAGTAGACTTTATAGAAATGAAAGGACACGTCGCGCAATGATTTATATAGGAACTTATCACGAGTTGTTGCCGAACCGCTATGGTTGTTCAATTGTGCCGACAAACGGACGTTACTAGTTTGTCGAGCCAACATGGTCTCTAGAGGTTCAGCGCAGTCTCCGACCACGGACCATGATGTATTGCCTATTGTGACTATGCGCGGAACTTACATTCCCGATGAAGCTTGCATAGGTTGCGTAGAACCTCGTACGTGAGTTAAACGTGGGCACGTCGCAGTATGCTGTAAGTTTAATGAAAGGTGGTTTTTCCTTCACTTGAGAGAGTGGAGCGTTGCTTTGTAGTGTGTTGGGGCAGTGCGGGTGCTTTGTGCAGTGAATGGTTGTGTCTGTCATCATTGTTTGTGAGAAAGCTTGGGATGTGTGTGCCGTTGACCTCCTGTTTGTACTTTCTTGGCGACACTTGATTTTATGCTCGTCGATCCCCAGTGGTTTACGAAGAGCTTTTTCTCAACGAAGCATTGTCCGACTCTTGTATCTAGCACAAAACACGACACATCACCCTCTCGAGTTCTCGTCGTGTGCTGAAGTCATTTCTGACATCCTTGCTTGACATTGTGAAAGTTACCTCTGTTTTATTTTTTGTCTCTCTCAGTTTTTGGTTATCCCGTCCTGGCAGCTGTGTGCAGAACGCCAGCTGCATATGCTCGAATCCTTCTGTTTTCTATACATGTGTGTCTGTTGTCTGGAAGGGTGTTGCGTTTGCTGTCGCTGTTGAAATACACGAAGAATGTGTGCCTATTTACAAAGAATGTGTGAGCGGTTGTGTGTGAGCTATCAATAAACTATTTTCTATGAAAAACTGTGGCCTGTACTGTACAGATGCAGCCTAACAAATAGCTGTAGCACCTGGAGTTCTTGTTTATTCGGTCACTGTTGGCAGTAGTGTTTCTTCTTCTTTGTGATGATAGATGGGCACAGCTGTGCCCCACACATGCAAGGTAACAGGATCACTGTTGTGTCAGCAATCTGGAAGGTAATGCAACACTGGAGGCCGTCTTGACATTTCAATGATGCAGAGCGCTGTTTAGAGGGTGCCCACACTACATCAAAAACGTGCAAGTGAGCGAGTCCAGAATTGCTTTTCTGGTCACCATCGAATTCAACCATGTCAAATTTTGTAATGGTGTCCTTTCAAGCGAATAGGAGAGACGCAGCCCTCTGGGCTAACCAGAGTTGAGCAATGGTGGAATCTGACGTGTTTGTATAGAAACGGACTGGGATCTCGTGCCCGTTTGAGAAATGAAGACCTTTCACCGCTTGCGATTTTTTGATGCCAACACATGCATCTCCTGTTCGTGACGAAAATTGGACTTCGATCAACCGCATACGAAAAAATTGTTCGTACTCTTGTAGAATGGGTACAAGTTCTGGGTCTAGAACGGCATGCTTTTGAGAAAACTGGCCTGTAGGGATTGGAATGCCAAGGCATACTTGTGTTATATAGGGAAGGAGGGGAATGCAATATCATTCCAGCTAATAAATGCAAGGTTCAATTTAGTGTATGCAATTTGTGTAAACTTGAAATTTAAAATGTTGTGCAAAAAAAGTGTACCTTCACTTTAAATGAACGTTTTTTTACTCGCAACCTCCGATTTCAAGCATGTTGCATGCAAGAACACATTTCAAGCAAGAACAAGTTTTACTAGTGTTCAGACTTGTTTATTGCATTACCGCGAAACTGAAAACAGCAATCCAGTGAAGTGTACTTATACCCAAATAGTTTGTTTCTCTACTTCAGCATACCGCATGCCAATCCAATATGTGTATGTTTTGCAATGGCATACATGTGCACTATATAGCTTACAAATATATGTCATATATTTCTTTGAGAATCTTGCTGGTACATGGAATGATTGGAATAACATGTTGCACATTTCTGTGCGGTTTCTGACCATTTCAACTAGACCAACTGTGCACTGTGCTACAAAATATTTGAATTAGAGACCTTGGGAGGGCACACACTTGCTAATAGACAAGTAGCGAAAACTGCAAGTCCTTTTTTCGTGAACAGCAAGAACTCGTGCACTGCTGCTGTGCAAGTGAGCTGCCTTGTAGTTCTTGCGACTTGTCCGTTTCCATGCCCTCCCATTCAAAAAAAGCTATAGTTTCGAAATCGGCCTGTCCTGCTAGTGGTCCGTCTTGCCGCCTCCGCTGGAGGCCGGGTTGAGTTGCACGATGATGACCACGTACGAGATGAGAGCGCCGGCCAGCGTGAGCACGAAAGAGCGCGAGAAGCTAAAGAAGCCCCAGCCGGTGAGCTCCACCGCCGGCGCCGTCAGCATGGATGCCAGGATGCGGCCTTCCAGAAACGACGCCGGTGACGACGACCCTGTCGGGTTGCTTCCCGCGGTAACTGCGTCCTGCGTTGACGGCCACTGGGTGGTGCTGCCTACGCTGCTGCTGCCATCACGCGTCAGGGACGTCGTGGCTGCCTTCGCATGACCCAGGCACCGGTACAGAGACGCAGGGGACGCGTGAGCTGCCTCAGTGAGCCGCGAAGCCAGCACAGAGAGCAGCAAGAAGGCCAGTGTCACGCTGCCGAGGTTCTGGGCTGAGATACACTTGTAGTGAATGCGTGCTCGTAAGGGGCGCTATACGCAAAAAAACATGCAATGGTCATCGTGCGGCGATTGCGAGAGGATGACGTTA